TTTCTTCTGTTAAAGAGAGAGAGAGAGACAGGAGAGAGACAAGTACCCTCAACAAGGTCCTCACACCATGACCCGTTCCTGTGCTCAGCTGGCTCAGATCACAGGCATGCAGTGAGCATGCAGCCAGCACACTCAAGGAGGTCCCAGGACCCAAACCCAGAACACGTACCCATGTGGGTCTAGTTGTGTTATCACTGCACCACTGTCTGGCCCCACTCAAATCTTTTATTCCATTGTGGAATTCCCCAAAATTCATCCAAATTCCCAGGAAAGGCACTTTAAGTTCTTATAGTAACTTCTGACTTTGGGTTCCTGATTCCACTCTACTGTTTCTGTTTAACCACACATTGAATCAGATGTGAAACTCAGTCATTACTCAATTTCCTCCAAATACCTCATCCACACAGAACATTTGTGAGTCTAGCAAACTTCACTGAACTATTGGGTAAGGAAGAAGAGACATCATGCCATACGTATAACTTAAAACCCTTATTAACTGTAACCTCTGTAACTTTGTTTTTAGAGAGATTTTTGCCATAGAGCACATGTGCTAGCAAGAGAGACAGAGAGAAACAGAGAGACAGAAAGCAAGAAATCACCCCTAGGGGGGATGGCCATGCTGCAATCCCTTCTCCATTCTCCTCTTGGGATCTTGGGTACACACACACACACACACACACACACACACGTGCCCAGTATGAGTTTTAAGCCACAGGGTCCAGGACTTGAACTGCAGTCAACTACATGGGAGTCAAGTGACATAACCATTATACCATCTGCTGGTCCCAAACTTCTGTATTTTTTAAAGTTCTTTAACCCAGACACCAAGTCTTCAACCGATACAGTTCCCAACACCTAACAATCCTTCTGGATCTCTCTTTTGCCTCAGTCCTTAATTCCCCTTTCCCCATCTCAAGAGCAAAAATCAAGTCCTTCTCACTGTAGAGCAATTTAACCAGTCTGAAGTCATTTGAGCTCTTACTAACACCCACACTTGCAGAGTATCTGTGTCTATACCAAGTGGCTTAACAAAAAATTTATCAAACAAAAGGAGTTCCTTCATCAGGAAGATTCTAAAGCTAACAGTGTCAGGAATCTCTCATTTTATAAATTTTCTAACCTCTAGACTTTTTTACATACTATTTCCTCCATCTAGAGTACTCCCTGTCATTCATGTAGAGAACCCCTGCTCATTACTTAGAACTCACCCTGTGATTCTCCCAGAACCCTTACTCCCAAGAGTATTCCTGTATGTCCTGCAGAGTGCCTAGAGGTACCATACCAATCCAGGACCACTAAAATCTAAGGTGGAGTTTTAGCTAGATGCAAACCTGGGTGGACTCTATAGTAGAGATATTTAACTCTGCCTCACATTTAACGTGAGAGAGTAAGTCTTTTAGGATCCAAGCTTATTGTGGAAATGGTCTTCACCTAGCTAATTTTAGTATCTTTCACTTTGCGAGGCCCTTAACATGAAAATGTAAATTTGTCAGAATTGGCACAAACCTCGGGGCAAAAGTGGCTTCTGTACTGGTTTACCATGTAGCCCTCAAATTCCTGTCTGTCAACACCTACTTGTTTATAAGATTTTTTTCCCCAGAATTGTTCGTTATTTTCAGTGGGAAGTTTGGTCCAAATACCATACCCTACCATTACTCAAAATAAGAAGCCATTAAATCCTTCCTGATTAGGAAGCAGATCTTCTGCCAAACATGTTAAGTATTTTTGTGAGGCTTTCTCCTTAGCCAGAGGATTTTATTCCTGTATCATAGGCAGCAGTCCAGGAAACAAATCCATCTTTTGCCTTAATCCATTCACTAATGTGTGCATTCACTTAATAAATACCCACTGAGTACTACCTATGTGTGGGCACTGAGGTAAGGCAAGGCTACAACAATGAACAAGTTAGAGTTCCTTCACTCTTTTGTTAAAGAAGAGTATAGAAAAATCATCTGAAGTACCTGTTCAAGATCAAAGTAAGACCTACCAGCCAATTTAGGAAACTCCCATGTCTCTTGCCCACTGAATGGTCTGTCATAAGGGATAGAATTTGAGTCTCTGGACTCAAACCCAGAACCCTCCTATGTGGGTCGGCCTCACAGAATATCACATTTTACAGGGGGTACCATCTTCCAGCCCCCAAGTTTTCATTTCTAACAAGCTCTTATGGGACGCTTATGTTATTGGTCTAGCATTTTACGAACCACTATAACAGGAGCCCTAGATCGAGCATGGGAGCAAGAAGCTCCTTTACAATATTAGTACTAAGAGGGGGAAATTCATGGAAAATGCATGTTATGAAAAATCCATGCATGGATTTCAAAAACATTTTGCATCAAAATAAGTTCATAATTTTTAACATTTTTTCCATAAATGTTTGGAAGTCTTCTCATATTCCTTTACAATACTCTTCATTTTAAAATATCAAGAGTTAATCTGTAGCCAAGACCATTCAATAAGGAAGTCTTTTCAATAAATGGTGCTAGGACAACCACATATCCACATGCAAGAGAATAAAGTTGGACCCATATCTCACACTACATATACAAATTAACTGGTCATGAATCAAAGACCTAAATGTAAAAGATAAAACTATAAAATATGAGTAAGTCTTCATGATTTTGGATTTTGCAATGCATTTTTAGAAATTACAACAAAAGTACAAACAAAAAATGGAAAAATAGATTAATTGAACGTCAAAATTTTAAACTTTGGGGAGAGATAGTGGCAATAGCAGTAAAACATGAACATCTGCAAGGCTGACCATCATAGGAAGTCTCTGAATTTAATGTCTGGAGACTTCTAGTATGCCAGACATGCACGTACCCATGATCAGGGAGTTGGCTGAGGCTGAGGGTGGGTGACAGCCTCAAGACCCTGTTGGGGTGCTATCTCTCTGTCTCTCTCTTGTTTATTAAACAAACCAACTAATTTAATTTATAAAACCTTTTTAAACTTTTGTGCTTCAACGTACAAAATAAAGTAAGTGAAAAGCAAATGCGCAACATAGGAGGAAATATTTACATATCATATCTGATATGGGACTTGCATCTAGGACACATAAAGAACTCTCACAATTCAAAAATAAAACAAATAACCCAATTTTAAAAATGCAACTTATCCAAATAAACAGTTCTCCAATGAACAAATAACCAATGAATAAAGAACAAATAGCCAATGGGAACATGAAAAAATGTTCAACACCATTTGTTGTTAGAGCAATTAAAATCAAAACGACAAGGAGATACTGCTTCACACTGTCTAGAATGGCTATAATTTTTAAAATAATTTTTAAAATAAATAGAAAATAACAAGAGAAGTTGGAATGCAATGTTTGTGAAGATATAAAATAGAGCAGCTGCTATAGAAAACAATTTGGCAGTTCCTCAACATATGGTCCAACAGTTCCACTTCTATGTGTATTTCCAAAGGAATTCAATCAGGTATTCAAACAAAAACCTGAACATAAATATTCATAGCAACATTACTCATAAGAGCCAAAATGTAGAAATAATTCAAATATCTATCAACTGATAAATGGATAAGCAAACTATGATATATCTATATGGTGGAATATTACATAGCCATTAAGAGGGCTGAAGTTCTAACACATGCTACAACATAGATGAACCTTGGGAACATGCTAAGTGAAAAAAGCCCATCACAAAAGAGCATATATTATATGATTCTATTTATAGGAAATGTACATAGTAGGCAATTCTACAGAGATAGAAGTAGAATAGTGGATGTTTAGGATTGGAATGAAGAAGCATAAGAGAATGATTGTTTAAAGATATAGTATTTCAGACCAGGAGGTGGTGTGGTGGCTGGGGAGCTGGACACTCCCACATCGCCAACCATGGTTTGAGTCCCAGACCTGGTGGCTTGCTTTCTCACTTTCTTTCTTCTTGTGTGCCTGTCTTACTCTGGTCAAATTAAAATAAATGAATGAATAAATAAAATTAAATCAATAATTCTTTAGAAACAATAAATAAAGACACAGTATTTCTTTATGAGATGATAAAAATGTTCTAAAATTGACTGTAGTTTTGCCTGCACATATCTGTGAACACACTAAAAATCATTAGACTATATACTTTAAATGAGTGAATTGTATGGCATATGAATTGTATCTCGATAAAGCTGTTGTTAAATGAACACACTACAATTGTCAAAAGAAAAAAGATTTGTAAACTCTCAGGAAGTTAATCTCATTCCTTTAAAAGTTCTATGATGCTTAATTAGCCAGTATCTATTATAATTTATCAGACAGAATTCTGTGTTCTGAAAATATGATATAAAAAATACTTATGGGGACCAGCAGTTAGCATAATCGCTATGTCGCTGGACTCCCACGTAGTCGACCGTGGTTCACGTCCCAGACCCGGCGGCTTAAACTCACACCAGGCGTGTGCCCAAGATCCCGAGAGGAGAATGGAGGAGAGGGGATTGCGACATGGCCATCCCCCCTGGGGGGTCATTTCTCACTTTCTGTCTCTCTGTCTCTGTCTGGCTGGCTGGCGAGTGCACGCACCCTGTAGCAAAAACCTCTCCAAAAAAAAAAATACTTATGAACCTGCTATCCCCCAAAATTGATGTGTTGAGATTTGGTTGCAACAGGATTAAGAGGGTGAAAACTCAAGAACTATGGTGTTGAAAGAGAGGGCCTTTGAAAAGGGGTTGGGATTAAGATCATCAGGGTAGAACCCATGACTGACTCCTAGTGGGGTTATAAGGAGAAAAAATGAGACCAGAACACAGAGAGATGGACACAGATACATCCGCTCCTGCCCTCCACCATGCGGTAATACAGCCAGAAGACCCACACCAAATACAGCTCCTGACCTTGGATCTCCAAAGTGTGAGTTGAATAAACCTCTATTTTTATAAGTTACCTGGAATTGGGTATTTTGTTTTATTAGCAACAGAACAGACTAGAACAGAAGCAATAAGAATTTTAGTTGTTGTGAAGCTACTAAAAAGTTTCTCTTTTTTCACAGGTATCAGGAATTGAGAGAGTCACTCCAACAATGCAGGCTTCCATGGGGTGCGGAAAGGGAATATGGTGGGATAATACCGATTTCACTACCTGAGGAATACAGGCCAAAATGTGAACCTCATCATGTCATGGGCAAAGGACATCAGCATTTTGGATTTGGTGGAGAAATCTGGCCACGGTGAGGAAACTTTCTGTCATTCACATAAAATCTTAAATTTTTCTTTCTTTTTATTGTGAGTCCTTTGTTAATTTAACTCTTTTGCTTCTTATGGAAGGACATAGATGAAACAACCAATTATATCATTTCTAATTAGGAAATCCTTAAAAAGTCTATGTTTATGGATGTTTTTTGCTGTCCTTAGAGATGTTAAAATATTATGACCAGAAAATGTTATTAATTTCATTTCCTTATCACATCTTTTCTAAAAGTAAATGGGAATATTCCTGAGAGAAAGAATTAATTTAAAATGTTTTTTCTTGTGCAAAGAGATTGCCTTGTACAGATGTTCTTCGTTTTTGTAATTTTGATTTGCAATTCATTAGTCAATCTTCATTATAGTCATTAGAATCTGCAAGGCCTTGTGTTCAAGTGTCAGGACTCCTAAAGGTCACTATGTTTGCTCAGATTGGCAAATACATTACAGTATTTAATACATTAAGGCATTAAAATATTTCAGTAATTGTAAATTGTAAAATCACTCTTTCAGCGACTCTATTCAAAATATAGGCTAAAACTGCAGAGAAAGCAAAAAATAATCTGAGCAACAAATTAAACATGACATTAAATATTTATTAAAGATTATAAGAGAAGAAATCTGTCAAATTTTGCATAGTAGAAAGCCTACTTCAGCCTTCTAGCAATCCTGGTTACCAGATTTATTAATCTAGTTAACTCATTTTTTATTCTAAAGCATGTAAAAGAAATACACTAGAAAAGACAAGCTGCAGCTAAGAAGAGAAACATTATCAACAGGGATAGGTGCAGCTGATAACCTCACTAAGTCCTCAGTAAAGCAATGAAAAGCAAACAAATAGGATCAACAGTTGGCATCATGGCTATGTTGCTGGACTCCTATGTAGTTGACCGCAGTTAGAGTCCTTGACCCAGTGGCTTAAATTCACACAGGGAACATATGTGTGCATGCCCAAGATCCTGAGAGGAGAATAGAGGAGACAGGCCATCCCTCTTCAGGGATTATTTCTCATTTTCTGTCTCTCTGTCTCTCTCTGTCTTTCTGGCAAGCACACGTGCCCTTTAGTAAAAACCTCTCCAAAAAAAAAAGGAAATAAATGAGAAGTCCTAACAGTAAGAGGCCCATTGGGACGATTTAGAGGTCAACACACATAAAGAGAGTAAGGATCTCAAGTTCACTCATTCATTTAGTAGATGTTTTTAAGTCCTCACTCTCACTAAACTTACTTTCTGATATAAGATAGGTTCATAGTATATCTTTATCAGAGTGGATATTGTCATCCATGTTTTATAATGAATAAACAGAAATCCAAGAGATTCAATACTTTTCTTTGGGTCAGGCAATTATGAAATGTGGAAAAGAAATTTGAGTCCAGGTTTGTTTGAGTCCAAAGCCCAAGTTTTTTTCATCTGTTCATTTTATGTGCTCATTCATTCATTTATCTACTCAGTAACTCAAGACAATAGCTATAAACTCCAGAAAGACCTATATCCTCAGTCTCTAGAACAAGCACTGTTCTAGAGTATGGTGTCGGTCTTTTTGGAGTTTATAGCTATTGTCTTCCAAAATCTGTATATTTTTTAAATGCACCATATTCTAACAGAGTATTTGCACAGAATCCCGATTTGTAAAAAGAAGGCCAGAGACTAGCTTCTTTAGGAAAATCCAGTTTGAAATGAGAGGTCTGTGTCTGATCTCTTACTGAATGGAGCCCTAGGATACTTGGAAAGCAAATATTTGTTCCACACAGAATGCCAGCTCAGAGATGCAGGTGAATGTATACTGTTCTCTTCAACCCCTTTTATGTTAAAAGCTCTCACTTCAGCATATTCATCTCTCAATAATACATTTAAGACAAAGTCCTGATCTTTTGATACTTGCAAATTATTTGGCAAACAACTACAGATTTTATCTTGTTTTCTGTTCAGATAAAACCTATAGTTTGGGTTTTATCTTATAACTTTTTTTTTTCTCCCTGAAGACAGACTTTTAAGCAAAGTAACAATATTTCCAAGCTCTCTGATGGGTCAGCTGTCATCTAGTTCATATAAAAGCTTGCTCTCACAACCCTACCCTGCCACCTTCCCTGAAAAGAATTTTCAGTGGGGGTTTTGTGGTACCACCTACTTAATTCACACCTTGTAGGAAACAGGATCTCTCCTTTGCCTTATCAACTCTTTATATGACTTTGGAAACTAAAAGGACCTGCTCCTTGAGAAAATGTCTAACTGAGACATCCTACAGTATGTCATCTGAATTGAAGAAGTTAAGAGAGCACAGCTTACTAAAGGAAATATAATTATCTACGGTAGTTACATATGCATGTTTCAATGCTCTGTCAGTGTCATGCCATGTGGGACATCATTGCCACTCTGATTCTTCCCAACATAAATATATCTAAGTAAAACTGTCTAAAAGAAATATTAGCACATATTTCCATACATTTTGGGGAAATATTAGGAATCCAGGGGGAAACTGCACTATTTGTTGAAAGGCATTAAGGCAAAATAAGTCTTCAGAGTCCAGATAATTATCCAGTTTCAAGAGAAGGTTAGGGAACCAGCAGTTAGCGTAATGGCTATGTCACTGGACTCCCACATAGTCGACCACGGTTCACGTCCCAGACCCGGTGGCTTAAAACTCACACCAGGCGCATGTGCGTGCGTGCCCAAGATCCCAAGAGGAGAATGGAGGAGAAGGGATTGCGGCGTGACCATCCCCCCTGGGGGGTGATTTCTTGCTTTCTGTCTCTAATGTCTCTGTCTGTCTGGCGAGCGCACGCACCCTGTAGTGAAAATCTCTCAAAAAAAAGAAAGAAAGAAAAAGAAAAAGAGAAGGTCATCCTATGAGTAAAGAAAAGAACTCTCAAGAGTAGAAGCCCCTATTTAAACATGGCAAGATCACAGAGAAGATGCTGCAGAATATGGGCACTTCCAAAGTACTGTGTTGACTTGAAGGAATGAGCAGAATCCCATGGCTAAGGGATGCTTCCTAACTGGAAGGAGATCCTTAGGGTCATTTAATGGGATCTTAGACAGTAGTAACCGACGTCTCTAGAGTACTATCAAATGCTATCTGAGCACTTCTGTCTGCTTCCTCCATCCCATCAGGCTAAAGGAAAAAAATGGATAGAATGCAATCATGGGCCAGCTCCATGGCTTGGTGGTTATGATAGCTGGACGCTGTATGAGTGAACACATGGTTTGAGTCCCAGACCTAGCTGACTTGAGAAACACACCAGGCTCATGTGCGTGTATGCCCAAAATCCCGAAAGGAGAGAGAGATGGAGGAGACAGATTATAGTGTGACTGTGTCACACTGAAGGTGCTTTCTCCTCTCCTTCTCTCTGTATTCTCTGGCAAGCACACATGCCCTCTAACAAAAACAACAACAACAACAATAATAATAATCCACCTACAAGATTGTAGCATGAAGGGAACCAGCAGTTAGCGTAATAGCTATGTCACTGGACTCCCACGTAGTCGACCACGGTTCACATCCCGGACCCAGTGGCTTAAAACTCACGCCGGACATGTGTGCGTGCATGCCCAAGATCCCGAGAGGAGAATGGAGGAGAAGGGATTGAGGCGTGACCATCCCCCCAGGGAGTGATTTCTCGCTTTCTGTCTCTATGTCTCTATCTGTCTGGCGAGCGCACACGCCCTATAGCGAAAAAACCTCTCCAAAAAAAAAGAGATTGAAGCATGAATAGAAAAGTAAAGTCATTTCAAATGAATTTATTAAGAAGAATTCACCCACACTATAGCATTGCAAATAGCTAGGTTTATAGAAAGCTACTCAATCAAACACACATAAAATGAGAATAAATTGCAAAGAGAAAAGGAAAGAGAAAAAAAAAATGACACACAAAAATTACATGAAAAAATAATTCTGAAAGAAAACCTAGCCCAGAAAACAAAAGTAGATTTCCTGCAAAAGGCCTAAGTGTTTCAGAAACTTTTTCTTTATTTTATACAGATCTGAAAGGTCTGTGTAGTGAAAAGGTATTTCTCTATAGTTAGGAATTCCTTCAGTTTTACTTTTTTTTCATTCATTAGAAGCTAATAAAATGTAAAATTTTCTTTTAAAAATAGCATGAACTTTGATCCTATTGAAATTTTAGTTCTAACTGTAGCTATCAATCTGTACATTCCTTATTTATTTATTTTTAGAGCGAGCTACCTAGAATCATGTTGTTTTCTTATGCTTTCTGTAATTACTCAAACTTTCATGCAGATGTGTCATTTCAAAAAAAACAATAAAATAACCTCTTTTTAAACAATAGCATTTATCAAATACTTCTGTATGTCACACGTGGTGCTATGTCTTATAGACATCTCATTTAAGATATATCTGCTTTTCTAAAATTCCACCTCCCCGCAAAAAAATTACTTTTGTTCTTTTTAAACTTAATTACTCAAACTTTCCTTTGCACGTGTTAGGAGTTTTAGTTGCAAATAACAGAATCATCTCTAGTTAGTTTAAGAACAGGATCTATTAGAGGATATTAGATTAGCACATAAAACTATGGCAGGGCTACATAAACAGGCCAGTGGCTCGGCTTCCGGGAATACTACCAGACTCACTCCCAGGACTGGCCTCTTCAGAGGGATGCGCCTCTAATAAAATGACACCCCTCTGGACACCTTCATAACCATGTGGATGCCCCACATGAAGCTTTCATTCTCTGGTTACCCCTATTCAAATCCATTTAATGTAGATATGAATAAGATAAGATAAGACTGGCAGAACTTGGGGCATATATTTGCATGCTAACTGCTAAGGGTGCTGGGAAGTGGGCTTCCAGATTCCTCTGCCTGAGGAATTGGGATGTTCCAAGTGTGGGGAAGTAGAAAAATGCAGAAAAGAGATTGCAAGATGTTAGTCATAAGTATCAGTTGCCTGCCACTCTAAACAACAGCTACAACAATAACATGCTTTTCTATGCAACATGTGGTTCATGGACCATCAGCATCACATGGGAAAATAATGAATGCATAATCTTGGCCTCAGCCATAGACTTACTGAAACAGAATCTGCATTTTAACAAGATCCAGCAGGTAATTCGAACATGTAGCCAAGTTTGAGAACTGCTGTTTCAATGTAAGAAAATGCAACAATTTTTCATACAAATTAAAATGTACTCACCACCCCAAAAGAAAAAACCTCAAGGTTCATTAGTTTCTGCATCAAGTTCCAAGTGTTCACTTCTCTTTAGCAGTTGAAATCTTGTCCCAATAGTCTACTTCTATGCACCTTAATAAAGGTAATCATCACCAACATGCTCTATATGAAAAAGAAAGGAGAGGAAAAGAGAGTTAATATATACAAAACTTTATAAAAATTATGGAAAATGGAATTAAAGTACTAGTTATTTTGGTCGGAAAAAAATTTAAATCCATGCACAATCTTTTCCTTTTTATCGATTGCCAGATGGTACATGTGCTCACCAGAAGGAGAGATGGAGAAACAGAGAGGGAGTAAGAGAGATAAATCATCCCACAATAGGGGATGGTCATGCCACAATCCCCTCTCCTTTATTTCTCCATCCTGTTGGGATTTGGGGCACACAAGCATATGTGCCTGGTATGTTTATCAAGTCTCTGGGGCTGGGGCTGAAACCCAAACCATACAGTGACCCATGTGGGATCTGGCTCCCTTAACTACTCGGTCACAGGACCAGCTCCAGTTATTTTACACTATACATTCTCTAAAAAAAAAAAATTTTAAGAGAGATTTTTGCTATAGGGCACATGTGCTCTCTAGAGAGACAGGGAGAGACAGAGAGACAGAAAGCAAAAAATCACGCCCCAGGGGGAATGGCCATGCCATAATTCTTTTCCTCCATTCTCCTCTTGGGATTTTAGGCATACATGCACACACACATACACACACACACACACAGGGTGAGTTTGAGGCCACCGGGCCCAGAACTCAAATCATAGTCAACTATGTGGGAGTCCAACAATGTAACTGTTACACCATTTGCTGGTCCTTCTCCAGGAAATTTTGAAGACCTCCATATAAGGCACATTGAAGAAGAAAATGTGAGAAGCCACCACAGTCCTCATTTCTGCAGTGGTTATAAGGCTCTCATTGGTGTTATAATTTCCTACCTCCACTACCCATTCTAAGTTCCCTTGCTCTCAGTTAGTACCTGAGCTGGTAGGAGTTCATTACTTGGCAGGATGACCCAAAATTTTGTTCCTGAAGAGATCTAAGGTCTTGGTGGTTCTCCCTGTGTAAAGCTCCTACAGTATTCCTTTGATTTTATCCCACTGGAGACAATACTAGGTGTCCAAAAGATGTCTTAGGTTCCAGTAATATGCACTTTCCCCATCACCACATAGCATCAATCCTCCTGCCCTTGATATTCAAGGTTAGTGTTCTCAGTCTTCTAGGCATAATCCTAACTTACCTGTTCTATTGAGAGTCATAAGAGGCCCCAAATTTCCACATCATCAGTTAAGCAAAGCAATGGGATCACTGTTGCATCCCCAGATGGAAGCATTTCTTCCTTGGCCTCAAAACTAGCCAAACTCAGGGTGGCAGGGGAGGAAGTAAAATGTTCTCAAGTGTAACAAGTGAAAGGTGCCACACTGCCCACTTCTACCCTTTGGTTTCAGACTATGCATTCTGGCTGTGGGGAGAACTACTTATTGGTCACCACTTCAGAACATATGCCATACTCTAGGACAGCTAAATGCTGGTAACATTCATTCTTGTGGGGACTAAACTACCGTAATACTCCAGGGCGATCCTCAGAGGCTGGGAAACCACGTTTTCTGGAATCTATGTTGCCTAGACAAGATTCACAGTACAGATTCACTATAAAAATATAAAGTGGGTATTCAAAAGATAATGGCAGCGGGACCAGCAGTTAGCGTAATGGCTATGTCGCTGGACTCCCACGTAGTCGACCGCGGTTCGAGTACCGGACCCGGTGGCTTAAACTCACACCGGGCGCATGTGCGTACGTGCCCAAGATCCCGAGAGGAGAATGGAGGAGAGGGGATTGTGGCGTGGCCATCCCCTCTGGGGGGTGATTTCTCGCTTTCTATCTCTCTGTCTGTCTCTATCTGTCTGGCGAGCGCACGTGCCCTATGG